CAAGAGTTCACGGTGGCTCAGGCTAACATGAGCTAGCTGCGCTATGGGAAGTGAGCAGCGGGAGTTAGCACCGCTGCTACACCGGAGTTGACGATGAGCGAGCGGGCTAAGGACCTGCCGAATAAAATGGTAATAGAGGGGAGATGAAGCTAGGGACTCGATGGTGACACACCGGTGAAAACAACAACACCAAAACAGTCCACAGACAACAGGAAGCGGGGAGTTTGAGAGGGTGGCCATTAGGCCACGTTGAAAAGGACCCGGGCGAGTGTTAGCAGGACTGAATCTATCTTCATCTGAACACCAGCGACATGTTTTCAAACATCTGACCCGACACCGCACACTATGTGGGTCTGTGGCACACATGTAGGCGCATATTGGGACGAGGTACCAACCATTTTTGCAGTCTTTTCGTCTCCTTAGTAAGGAGCCCGGAGCCAAAGACTGGGGCTTGACTCCGCTGCACTGGAAAAAGGAAGAGCGGAGAGCGCATGCGCCGTAAGTACCGTGTGACAGGATGAGGCAATACCGCCCAGGATTCGTCACTCTGCCCCCTGCCGACCTGGAGCGGACATGCAGCACGATTCCTGACCAAATGCACGCCTGACCTCACCAAAGTGTGTCAGTGGGGTTATAGGTCCAGTGTGAAAGGGATCTATTGGCAGAAGTTGAATATAAAAGAATTTTTTCATCTAAACTGTACAAATTGTTGTTTTCTTTACCCTTTATATTTAAATGCTTTATATTTACATCAGGAGCAGGTCCTCTCCAAGGAGGCCGCCATGTTTTTTTACAGTGGTCCATTCATGCCTCGTAGTCTAAGGAACTCAAAGATAGACATTTCTTTTTCAGTTGTGAACAATAAGCCTTTTCATGAAAGACACATGTAACAGCAGGCAAAGCACATGTCTCAATGATAACACGAGGGATGGATGCTCCATTTAATTGCTTCAGTTTCAGGGTCCCGGTGTTGTGCATGCTGGCTCAGTGTCACATGGTCATGGCTTATGGGGACTGCAACATATATTCACACTAACACATTCTTCCAGCTTGTTATAAAGGTCTACAATACACATTCACAATGGTAGTTTTTTAGTTGTCATAGGAAACACACTGGTGGAGCTAATAATAATATGTGTCATGCAAGGATTTATATTTTTATGAGTGAGTACAAAATATGGCTGGCATTCAAATGGATCCAGTCACCTGTGTGTGTGCGTGTGTGTGCATGTGTGTGTGTGTGTGTGTGTGTGTGTGTGTGTGTGTGTGTGTGTGTGTGTGTGTGTGTGTGAAACAAACAACAGACTCTTGGTCCTTGAGGGAGTCCGAAAACTGACAGTGTGTCAGAAACATAGTCTCGATGTTGTTGCCAGGTCAAGGCTACAACGTCAGCTGCTTTTCAGATACTTCTAAGAACGGAGGAGTGTCTCACAATCAACAAAAGATATGCGTCACTGCTCCGATGTAAAACCTGAAGAGTAGGTTTCATGACCGTTCAGTATCTGATCCAAGGCAGTCACATTCTCCGTCACAGAATTTCAGCATGAGCTCCATTTTTACGGCTCTCGCTCAGAGAAAGTTAGCTGTGTATCTGTGGGGTTAAGCTGCCTCTTGTCAGTTTAGCTTCATTATAGATCATATTTTCTATTTATACAGGTTTAAGTTTAAGTTTTCATAAATGGATTTTTGGCATTTCCTGTTTCTACAGTGAACACGAGGCACCTGAATTGAAGGAGCTGCGGTTATTTGTGAGAATATATGGTTTGAATCTCCACTCCAACTGAAGCATTTTCTTTTTTTCTCAGCAATGAACTTCAGGTAAGACTTTCTGAGGATCAGATACTGATCCGATAAGCACCACACACAACAGGAAGTTCGAGACTCTTTTACTTGACCTAGCACTCATAATGCACTGGGCCTCTTTCTGTAGTGCCTTTGGAATAGCAAAACAATTTCCTTGCAAGGATCAATACAGATTTTTCTGTTACTGAGTCTGAAAACCAAGAAGCGCACATCGCAAACTCGTTATTTTGTTGTTTGACCTGTTGATGTGTCTGATAAACTGTCACAAAGTGAAATGATATCTATTCACATTCTTAGTGAAAGAATGAATGAGTGTGGCTGCAGTGTATGATGTCTCCCATGGTCTGTCCCCAATTTGGAGGGGGAAACCAAATGTTGAAGTAGAATAAAAGAATGGAATGAGTTAGTTACAAATTTGTAATTGAATTGAAATAACTATGAATAGGCTTATTGCTGTTATTATCTTAATTCATAATAATAATAATAATAATATCTTTATTTATATAGCACTTCTCATAACAAAGATACAAAGTGCTTCACAAATGAAAGATAACCCACAAGTAAAACAACAACATAGAAACAAACAAAGAAGGGTTTGTAAAAATGTACGAATATAAACATTTGTGAACCATGAACACCCATGGAAATAATACAAATATTAATAAAAACTTGAATTATGTAAATTTAGGGAATGCAGTAGGATAAAAGTATGTTTTGGACTTTGATTAAAGGAAGCTACTAATTCAGTCTGCTGTATTTCCTCAGGGCAGGCCAGAGCCTCTGGGCTCTTTTTTCAAAAGCTTATAATCAAAAGCTCTGTCCCCTCATCTTGAACAGTTAAAAAGCCCCAGAGGATCTCAAGGTGCGAGCAGGGTTGCATGGGGATAAAAGATCAGTGAGTCAGACCATTAAGTGCCTTGTTAAGTGTTAACTGTGTTTAAAAGCCTGGCATTTACTGAATCATATTAATCTGCTTTGATCATAGAAAGCTATTCTCTTCCGGATAATGGCATATCCAGAATCTTTTGCTGCTCCCAGTCTGCTGGTGCTCATCAAGGGAGTGCACCAACACACCTTTCTAAAAATGTAACGCATGAATTAGTAGAAATCAGAATCAGAATCAGAATCCTTTATTGTCAGTGTTTAACATTGTCACCAACATTCAACATTGAAAACTCTTGAAAATGTAGTGGAGTAGACATATATTTGTGTTTGTTGATATATGTGTAAAAGGGAAAAATACCCCAAAATCAATCGATCAATCAAATTGTATTTGTCTAGCCTATAATAACAATTCACAATTTGTGTCATAGGGATTAACAAGGTGTGACATCCTCTGCCCTTTAAAACCCCTCACAGGAAAAAAATGAATCAAAACTTAGGGATCCCTCTCCTAGAACTGCAAAAGATGTCACGAGTAACAAGTAACATTCATGACAGAATAAAGTGTCTACTATAAATGGAGAGGTGTATCAATGCACTTATGTATGTAGATGTACTTATTGATGTATATTTTTATTCAAGAGAAAGTGTCTGATAGAGATGAAGGAAGCAGCAATGATATTTGTAATGATCGAGGTATAACCTATAGGTTTACTTCAGGGAATTGTAGATACATGAAAAAGTTAATGCACATATTGTATGAACAATTGTCACCTGTTTTAGTTCCAGTCAGACAACATATAGTAGATACTGTGTTATGAGTCTTATGGAGGTGCTCTAACCAAATGAAATGCCTGTGATAGGATATGGTGACATGACCCCATGATAACCTCAATAACTTTAATAGGTGCAGTGTGTAAGATTTAGGTGAAAGGGATCTATTGGCAGAAATTGAATATGAAATAATCCTAGTGATGTTTTCACTAGTGTGTTTCATCTAAATTGTACAAATTGTTTTTTTTCTCTACCCTAGAATGAGCCCTTTATATTTAAGTACTTTATATTTACATCAGGAGGGGGTTCATGTTTTTTACATTAGTCCAGACTGGACAAACTAAACACCTTTTCAGTTGTTATGACAACTGTATACCACAGGTTCTCTCTCATGTTTGGAAGGGGAGGGTGAGGTGAGGAGTATTCAGCTGCAACATGCAACTTCACCACTAGATGTCACTTAAAGGGATGTTTCCCCCGAAAAATTAAAATTCAGTCATTATCTACTCACCACTATTCCGATGGAGGGGTGGGTGAAGTGTTTGAGTCCAAAAAACACACACTTCGAGTTTCAGGGGTAAACAGAGTTGCACCCAAATCCAATACAATAAAAACAGCAGAAAAAATATAACATAATTAGAATTTCCCTACAGGGATTAATGAAGTATTTCTGATTCTGATTCTGATAACATGCCTCCATACTGCTGGTGTGGCGTCATTTTTTTAGCCTATAAGTTTGCTATGATGCTGGCGGAAGTAGCGATGCTACCGCACAGCCTGCGTTTTCCCTTGGGTGAGAGCGTGTGTGCGGCGTGTGTGTGCGGCGTGTGTGTGCGTACGTGAATGCGGCTCCAGCGGAGGATATCAGAGGACTTTGATGCTAAAAAAACAGAGTAAATGACGCCGTTTCTGGTGGAATTTGAATGTTGGGGCCTACAGACACTTGGATGACATGACAGGAGCAGTACGGAGGCATAGTAGATAATGAGTGCATTTTCATTTTTGGGTGAACAATCCCTTTAAAGGTCCAGTGTGTAAGATTTAGGTGAAAGGGATCTATTGTCAGATATTTAATGTGGAATAATTCTCATGATGTTTTCACTAGTTCATTTCATCTAAATTGTATGAATTGTAGTTTTCTTTACCCTAGAAAGACCCTTTATATTTAAATACTTTATATTTACATCGAGGGGACCCTCTCTATGGAGGCCACCATGTTTTTTACATTAGTCCAGACTGGACAAACTAAACACCTTTTGAGTTTTTATGACAACTAAAGTCTTCCACAGGTTCTTTTTCATGTTTGGAAGGAGAGGGTGAGGTGATGGGGTGTTCAGCTGCAACATGCAATTTCAACACTAGATTTCACTAAATTCGACACTGACCCTTTAATTCGACACTGACCCTTTAATTCGACACTGACCCTTTCAGGACAATGTGCTCTGGGTGACTGGAGAAGTGATGTAGCTGCAGTTGCGCAACACGAACACCTGGTGACAGTGTTGCTCCAGGCTGGATTCGGGATGCGCACGCGCAGAGCGATGTAAACAGTCGGGAGGCCGCTGTGTCTCCAGACATCTGTGTACACGTATCACGGCTGCATGGGCTGGACCGGAGCTCAATGGGAACAGGCTAACTTAACTCTGGCTAGCGTTCACACTGGAACACTAGCTAGGCTATCCGGGCTAACACGGCTAATGTACTCGGCTGAAGTGTTTGCCGGCCGATGTCCTGGTGATAACAGCGGGACCGTACTTCGGTGCGTGGGAAGCGGCTCCGTTCTCCGCGTCTGGAAAGCAACTCTTCAAGGTAAACGATGTTCTCGGTGGTTGTTTTGTTTCGGGCTCTGGCTAATTACTGGTAGGAACACTTAACTCATAAAACCACCCCTGGTTGTCAGTGTGGTCTAAAGCACGGTGTGACATTACGTCTCACTAAAAGGAGGCTGCCATTACTTCACTCCTTTATATGATTATTGGCCAAATGAGCTGAACTCGCGGCTCGTCCGTGGTGGCACTTGTGTTTAATGTTTGCTGTTGTACTCTTTAAGTGAGGACACCGGCTATTGCCTGGAACAAAACCCCAGATACTAAAAGGGTTAGACGTGTCTCGTGCTCGCTGGTGTCATCTAAAGACGTTAAATATACCAAAGTGTGGCCTCGTCGACGTGAGGTGTTTCTGGAAGAAATCCTCTGCAGACTGTTGCATTTGATGCTGGATCTCCATTTCAGCGAGCCTTATAAGGAAGAGGGACTTGTGCTCCTCCTGTTCATCCCCTGCAAACCAAAATGTCAGTGATGGTGTGTAGCCAGAGCAGATGGGCTGAAGTGCTCAGCCACATCCCTTCACTTAAACCGAAGTGACCTCCAGGGTTCATCAGCAGTGAACTGTGGACACATACAGAGATATGCCTATGCAGACATGACTCCAGTGGTGAATGCATGTGACCATTGGGCCTATGTTGCTGTGGAAGTATGTTGTCCTGTACTTCACCTCATCTGGAGACAGTAAACTGGGAAAATGAGATGTCCGGTGTTAACGGGCAGAGATAAAAGTACCCAACACTCACCACCACGTTTTTCTTTTTGAAAGATGTAGAAACAAAGATAGCCAACTTATAAGTATTCAAATTAAACAGTGATGTGATTGTCTCTCAACCTTTGAACTCATAAAAACTGTTATATATTATATTAGAACGGGTATATGTACTCTCACCAAAACAAAACAGTTTTGTAAATTACTAGTACCTGTCAAAGTATTAATTTATTATCAGACTGACTGCCCTTAGTATTACTACACCTTCGTCAAGAAATGGCTCTAATTAAACCTGGATGATTTCTGCTAATTGAAGTTAGTGACAGTGCCTCAGTTGGAAAATCAGTTTCCTGGTGATCATGGACAAATGCTTCTGTATTTAAAACTGAACAGCTTGTAGAGCGGGGTCCAAAAATGTGAGACTTCCCCACTGTGTGTGGGACTTAAGATGGCCATGTCAGAGGATTCACTTGTCTGTACTTGTTGAAGTTATGTCACAGAGCTTCACAAGTGTTGACTTGAGACTTAAACTCCTAAAGGCTTTACAGTATAGTGGTGTCAGAACTCATGTATTTGCTGTGCATGAGTGAAATTAATAGTAAAAACGACTATGCTTTTCTTTCTCAGTAATCATATTACCAACCACCCCTAATATTAAAAGAGTCACAGTCACACATCACTGAATCATCAGATCAAAATGAATGTGAAGGCAGTATTTATAGGCAAGAATCTTGGAGTTGTTGGTGCAAAACCACACTCACGCACCTAATGCTTAGTGCCATATTTGGTTTTGTCACTATCAGTCCCAGTAGTTACAGTTATCACTCCTACAGAAACAACAGATTCAAGTGTTTCTATGATTAATTGGCACTAGGCTGATGCCAGTCAATTCAATTTACTACATGACTACAAATCTACGTAAAACAGTAGCCAGTATTCATAGTTCTCATGTGGCTGCATAGTGTAGACTAGCCTTCAGCCAAACCATTGAAATGCTGATTGTACACGGGGAAACTCTGAGCTTCCCTCTGTGCATAAAGTGAAAGGCCATTCTACATCAGTGCGAGTGTGTTATTGTAAGTCAGGGCCGTGTTTTAATACCCTCACACAGCTCATGGCCTGTGTGTTTCCCTCAAGATGGCCATGCTCTCTCCTGCTGGGCCAGACAAGTTTGTTCTGATTCACTGACTAGAAACAGCACATAAAAGATGAGTAAAATGGAGAAAGGCCAGATAAGTTTGTCTTAATTTTCATTTTGGACGACAACCTTTAAAGTATTAATAGATGGAAACTTGTAGTTTTTATATGTGTCACAGCTCAATAGTTTGTTAAAAAAAAAATTCCTGCTCCATTCTACAGAATTCTGGGTGTTTTGCATTTAGAATTATCGGAAAGGAAATGTGTCTTTGTTTTGTCTTTGGTCTTTTTCAATTCTGCACAGAGGCTTTCTTCCTTCTGTGGATTTCATTAGCAATGCACACTGCTTCTCAGGGCCCCCTTGGAGTCCTTAGTCAGAATAATCTCTGTAGGATTTATAAGGAAGTCTTGCTTCAGTCTGCCTTGAGGCCACCTGGACGTTTGCTTTTCTTGAAGTATGGCTGTCCCCTGTCCTGACTGAGTCGATCAATGTTTTCATCTTCTCATATTTTGCAACCTGAGCTAGGTTCCCAGGTCGTTTTTCAGCTGACTAAAAAAAATCAATAGTCACATTACTATAACATTTGTAGCTTTCAAAAATAAGATGATCAACTAATACGATTAACAATTAATGAGGTTTAATCATCACAAACATGGCAGGACACAGGCCTGAATTAATTTGGGTCCACGTGGTTCTTTAGTCTCCATTTTTCTTTTTCTCTCTCTCTCTCTCCAGTTAGTTCTGCATGGTGTCCCACACTGGGAAACTGTCTTTGATGAAACCTCATGCCCTTACATTCTCCTCTTTGCTTTCCAAAGTAAAGAGTACAGACACAAAGCTAGCCTGACTCACTGGTGCACAAAGAGTTGGTGAAAAGTTTAATCTGGCAGTGCGACTTTTCAGCATCAACCGTTTTTGTATTTTGTATTAGTGAATAATATCTTTTTCAAATGTCATAATATGGGCTTTCATTGTAGTAATCAATAGTAGTAATGCGGTTGTGAGGAAAATTAAATCTTTATTTCCTCTGCTGTTTGGATGTATTAGTCACTTATTTGAGATATACACAAATTTAATGGATTTATTAATTGGACTGTTACATTGCTGGCTGTCTGGGTGTAAAATGTGCTGACTAACACCTGACTGAGTAAGAGTTTATGTTGCCCACAGCCTTCTACAAGGTGCACTCAGAATAAGTGCTGGTGTGGATCCTGTTATTTGTGTTAATGACAGACTGTGTAGGTAAACGTAACTGCCTTCACTGCCTTTTCTTCTTCTGAATTGTTGTTCTGTTTTTACAAGAAATCAAGTGATTTGAAGTGAATTGTTGAAATTTGATACGTTTGCAAACATTTTTGTATTTTTATAAAAATATAAAAATATACTTCTTTGGCTTTTTGTTCCATTTAAAATGTTTTTGCTGAAAGTTGTATTTTGCCTTGCATTGTGGCATCATCCATCCTAATGCAGTCACTCTCTTGGGTCTATAGGTTGTGAATCTGTACGTTTAGTGCTTATATTGTGGATGAAGGGCAGTAAAAAAAACACCTTGACAGGAACAGGGTGTTGTTAGGAAAACACTAAAGGTTTTGCATTCAAACTTCCTGTTTCTCTCCATTTTACAGGCAATCCCCACAATCATACAGTGTGTATTGTAAGATACCATATAGCTTGTATGATATAAAAATGAGAACATATTTGTTTTTAATGTTTCTCTGCAGTACATTTTTAAATTTCGTATTCCAAACTCATAATAGAATAGATAAATATACTCTGTTATAGTGAAGTTTGTACTGTTAGGAATTCATACACACATTTGTGTGGCTCAATTAAATAAATATAAAGTTTATTCGGGTATTTTAGACAAGAAAGAAAAACAACAACAGAACATATCACAATTCAACATTTTATGTCCAAAAAAAGTATAAGTGAACTTATCAAGTCCATCTCTTCATTATTGAAAATGAAACATGTCTATCAAAATTCCCCATCAAACAAAAAATGCTTTTCTGAAGTTTTGGGTTAAGGGGGGTTGAAGTTGAAGAAGTTAAATTTAAATTCACACACACACAAAACTGCAAGCACTCGTCTCTGATTTTGGATTTTTACAGATCCAGCATTTGCTTTTAAGCACAAGTGTCTATTAACTTCAGATGACTTCATAGTGATTGTTATGTGTTTGGTAACTGCACAGTCACTTGGCGTGTCTGTCTGCACACAGCAGGGTAAAATAAGCCTAGCTAGCATATTTACAGTCTGTTCTTTACTACACATTCCTGTCACCACATTTACTAACGTCTTGTCCTCCCCCTCCTTTTTGTTCTTTTCTGCTTCTCCCTGTTTTTGTCTTCAGCCCTCTGTAGTCTTGCAATACACAGAAAAATTACTCATCAATTTTTTTATACAAAGTAAGATAGGTTTCCTGTTGCTCTATCCAGACATCCTGCTGCATGGCATGAAACCAAAGGCAAGACTATTTAAAAAAATCCCCCCTCAGGTGTAAGGTGAATTTCTTTTTGCTGAGTATAAAACTGTACTTCCTGTTGCACACTGATTTCTGCAGGAGACTTAAAGGTACAGTCAGAGATTTTTGTAATATGTAGTGTCGAAATTGCATGTTGCAGCTGAACACTCCTCATCTCACCCTCCTCTTCCAAACATGAAAAAGAACCTGTGGAAACCTTTAGTTGTCATAAAAACTCAAAAGGTGTTTAGTTTGTCCAGTCTGGACTAATGTAAAAAACATGGCGGCCTCCATAGAGAGTAAATATAAAGTATTTAAATATAAAGGGCCTTTTCTGGGGTAAAGAAAACTACAATTCATACAATTTAGATGAAATAAACTGTGAAAACATCATGAGGATTATGCTACATTCAATTTCTGCGAGTAGATCCAGTTCACCTAAATCTTACACACCGGAACTTTAAAGAAGGACAAAAGGGCTGATCCTTTGTGGAGCACTTTTACCACTCCTGACTGTACGATCAGCATATGACCACAGGGCAGTGTGACTAGAAACAGGTTTGAAGGTTCAGAACAGTCGTTTACATTCACAAACATGCTGTTAATGTTTAAAGCTGCTAGATTTGTTTTACATACATGATTCGGAGGGAATATGTTGGCATCGTAAAGCCAATGAGTTTGGACTTTTTGGAAAAACAGGTAGGAACACATGGAGGTTTTTTTCCTGAGAGATGTGCAATATGTGGGTAGTTTCTACTTTATAGAAAAAAAATATTCATCAATATTATGCAACAGGTACTTAATCATTGTACATTGGCAACTCCAGAGCACAGAGTATCCTTCTCTGTTTTCATGCTCAGCAGTAGTCTGTGAAATATAAAACCTTGAACCTTGTGCGTGTCAGTATCAGAATGCACTGAGGCTCATTATGGTGCCTCTTGTACAGAAGGAACTGTTCCTCAATAGAATTTAAATATTACAAGTGATATGACAAATAGCACTGGGCCGGGCACGTTAAATTAAGTGAATTGTCAGAATATCAGTTACCAACAGTCATTGAGTTCTTACTCAGCTTTTACTGGAAAATAATAATTTTAAGTATTGATCACGGTATCAGACAATATACAAACTGCTGGAGCTGTGTAGATAATGATGACGTGTTGGTTTATTATGATGTTCAATAGCTGCTAGATGAAAAATGGTGAAACTTTTTCTCACAGTTCTGACAGGCATTCTTCAATGAATAATTTAAATTTAAACAATGCAAGCTTCACATCATTGGCAGGGAGGGAGAGGAGTAAATGATGTCGAATAATGACACTTTTGGGTTAGACCAGCACAGATCTCATTGAAATTTGGTCATGTGAAAATACCTGTGAAACCCAACTTTTATGAGTCTGGTATCACAATTAAGGCAGATATGAGCAAATGAAGTTAGGAATGACTCAAAGTTGCATCAATTGTTATGTTGTGGTTGTATATGATAACAACTGGTGGCTGGGTGACCTGAAGAGACTTTGAACAGCCATGTCTGGACGATTAAGATTGAACTTTCGGCATTTTCCTCATGAACAGAACCGGCACCTGCTGTAAACCAGTTCGTACTGAGTCAGGCCTGTTTAATTGTAACTATAACGTTACTTTTAATCCTTTCCTGTGTAATGAATTAAAAATAAACATTTCCATCATACACATTCATACCTCCTCATCCCTGATTTACTGGTGATGGACCTAAGTGGAACCTGTGACAGTAAAAACATACACAATTGTTAAGAAAAGACAGTACAACTTCTTCAAGACTCTGAAGGAGCAGAAATTAAGAATGCTTCTTAGAGGTTATTACCACCTCAACATACAAAAGTTTTTTTTTTGCAATTAATTAACATTAGCTTGAAAATGTTGATACTACCCATGTTTTATTTCTCACACATCTATATATATGTATACACAAGATATATCCAGGCAAATGTACAGTCCCCACAAATAGTTCAAACTTGGTCAGCTCATGTCTCACTCAATTTGGATCCGAGACACATGAAATTTTGTTTCCATAGGTTTCTCATGAGACTAAATCATATTATTAAGATCTGGGACAGTGAGGTGTGATATATAGTATCATTCATGAAAGTCTGTGTCTTTTGAAGAGAGATGGGAATATTTATTTTGGTTTCATTATGGGGATGTTGTTACCGAGTTAATAGTTCTTTTTTATCCTCTGCAGGTGGCGACAGACAAGGTTGCTGGTAAGCTGAGTTCTACTCTCTCATGGGTGAAGAACTCGGTGTCCCACACGGTCAGTCAGATGGCTAGCCAGGTGGCCACACCCACGTCCCTGCCAACCACTGCTACGTCCTCCTCAACATCTCTGTCCTCGCCTGCCCTGTCCCCGTTGTCGCCAGTGCAGCTCAGTCCTGACGATGAGGAACTGCTCGCCAAGCTGGAGGAGCAGAACAGGTAAGCAGCCTGTGTCCTAAGCTGCTCCTGGCTGTCAACTTAACAGTGTTGGTGATAAGTGAGGGTGGAAGAGGACAGAGGGCAGGTTTGTGTACTGTAGTTCCTCGCAGATAGCCTGTTATCAACAGTACACACATCGTCGCCACTGTAACTATCTGCCACAACAATATTATAACAGTTCAAACCTCATTTACAATATATGTAGTCATCATAAACTAGTTGTTGAAAACTCACGTAGTTGATGGAGCAGAACATGGATGTTTGACCCTTTTAAAATTGGCCCTTAGTTGTCCAGAGGGAAGAAGGTCAGACTGTTCAGCAGGTGGGATGGATATTCACCCTCATGCTTTTAAATGTGAAACAGTTTAAGATAAAACAGCACACTCATGATTTGCAGCTCTTGTTAGCACCAGACAGATGATGCCTGTGGGTCATTAGCTTCCTACACACTCCAAACAAGTTAAACTTCCCTCAACAGTTAAAGCTTTGGTGACATGTTGTTCAGGCCAAAGGGATGATTTAATGGGTTACCAGTTGATATGTTTGTTAATGATTTTATCGATACTCCTAAAAATGATAGACATACTAATACAATTCACAATGTTTGCATATATCACTTTGCTACATTTATATTTAAATTCTCAAGTTAGCATTTGAAGTGATGTTTATCTAATGATTAATTATTTTGTCCTTGCCTTGTTTGCGCTACACAGCTGCACTACTTACTACACACACACACACACACATACAAACAAACAGACAATAGGCAACAATAATTGGAAAGATATTGTACCTGTATAATTTGTTTGGTTTCTGTGTTTTCAGTATTCGGCTGTTTGACAAAGAATTTTGCTCTATGAGGAGGTGACCGCTTTATGTCATTGCTTTCTTCCCTCTCTTCCAAAAGTTGATCAGTTTGAACTTTATATACAAGTTATTGGTTTGTTTTCAGTTAAGGGTATTTTCAGTTCGGTTCGGTTCGTGTCAACTCTGTTTGATGTTTTTTAAAATGTACTTGTGTGTAAATGATTGTTTGCACTGCTGTAGCCCTGTTTTGGACTGACTCATCCAACGGCCTAACAGTAATGGGTGCTTTCTTTTAAATAATGGTCCACTCTTAGTACTACATTTGAAATTTTTGAGCAGGTTCCTCATCAAAATTGATCAAATACTCTGTAAACTTACTTCAAGTAAGAGTCTGTTGTAGTTTGGGTGGGCTGTCCATTCACGTCACATCAGCTTGAAGTACTGTTAGAGGATGACGCAGCTCCCCTCTCTTGCCAACTTTGCGAATTCTTCCCCTGTTGTGACTCTCACCCATGGCTAGTGCTCAGTGTTTCCAGCATCAGCATGCAATTCAGAGTTTAGGATTGTGTCAGTCAAAGCCAGTAGAGAAGACAGCAAAGTTTTGTTGAATGCAGAGGTTGGTGATTCATTTGGTATGGCCACAACAGCCAGTGGTATGCCAACTGACACCTGGTGTTATTTATTTATTTATTTTCCCATCAGAAGCAGGGTTGGGTATCATTTAAATTTTATTCCGATTCTGCTTTTCAATTCCGGTTCTTATCGATTCCCCGTTTCTATTACCCAACTGTGTAAATTAGTAGTAACTGAGATAGAGGCAATAATGAAGCTTTTTGAAATTACTGGCGTTTAAATTAACCAAACAACACATAGTCCTATTTGTTGCTAGTTAGCAGAAGAAAATTTTCTAAATGTCCCTGTGAACTAATGTTACATCAATAATTGTCAATTTTAAGAACTGTAATGAATATTAATCTCTCATATATTCCATTACAACACAGTGGAAATCAGTAGCAGTTGAACCATTTGTGGATAATAAAGTTTTGAGCTGCTTGTTGTACGTCTAATTTATAGGAAACCTACTGACATACAGTATATCATACAAGTCACGTTAGTCAGCTTTCCCTTGAATGCCAGCAACGGTGTGTCGCTGCCATCACGGCTCGCTCTCCCAAGCTCTACTGGAAGTGTTAGCGAGGTGCTACTAGTGCTATCTGTAGATGACACACTCACACTTTGAGACCGCAGGACATTTAATGCTGTACAGTCTTTCAGATTCACGCTGTGATGCCTTAAATGTTTGGTGAGCTTCCCTTATCATTGCACTTTGCCTTGTCGCAACACTTTTGAACTTTTATCGCAGCTCACCGTAACCACGTTAGCCATGCATACTAGTTTGCGTCTAAACAAATGGACAGGCTGTTGCATGGTGCATGACGTAGATAGGTAGAACTGAAATTATTTTTTTTTTACGTGTACCCAGTACTTGGCATTTTGGATTTGGATCTAATTTGGAACCCAGATGGGGCTCATAGTTGCCCTTTGACCTCTGGGCCCTGGACATGAACTCCGGAGAATGTCTATTAAATTTGGTCTGGACCTTCTCCGGAGAATGTCTATAAAATTTGGTCTGGACCTTCTCCGGAGTTTGCCTTTTCACCATTAACAACTCAGTAGGAGATTCTCCACTCAGGTGTGTTCACAACAACACAGAAAGCTCTGTAGTATTCAGGTGAAGGGTGGCGCAGCAGGCAGGGTAAAACTAATTCCACTACAGAGATCATATGTTTTTGTCTACAGCACATCAACACCGATGTCGGCCTTAATCACTAAAAGCTCTTTGTAAATCGTGTCTACGTGTGTGGCACCACTCTTTCATCCTGAGATATGTGTATTCTTTTGGGTCATCTACGTGCCCATTCTTGGATGTCGTGCTGTTTTCTCACATCTATGGGCTCATTTTGACATTATTCTAATTCTTTTACTACAGAGCTGGCAGGAGAAATTTTGCAGAAAGTCCAGAGTCTCTGACATTTGCGTTCTCTCATACAGCCCCTCCGGAGAATGTGAGGAGATTATCAGGAGTTTGATGCATGTCTGAAAGCAATTTTGTAGTCTGCAACCTCGTAACATGCTCATCGCCACCAAACACACAAATATCAAATTTTGCCTTTAATGTGTTAACAATTAAACAGAGGGGGGGCTTTCCTCTAGGACGCTGTTTGCTGAGCGTGTTTGTGTGTTTGGTGAGGCCTTTGTACCCTACAGATCAGATAAAGGGAAAAGCATAGTATCGTCACACAGATTAGGAGGTCCTACACTGACTGCTTCAATCTGAAAATCAGACAAGCCACTGCTCCAGAATTCCTTAAAACCGGAGACATGCAGAGTACATCATGAGTTTATCTTGGTAAGCTTTATTGTATTTCATGTTTCTGTAGTAAACAGCAAATGGAAGTCATGATGTTAAAGCAGCCACACTCTTGGAAGAGAGCAGTGCTTCTAATAGTTTGGCTTCTTTGTTATAGCTCAAATTTGTTTAAAATGTCCTTTTAATCTTTGCCAATATTCCTTCACCTAAGCTAATTTCTTCAGTTTTTTGCATTTTGTTTTAATCCACAAGCTTCAGACTTGTGTTTGACTACTGGTGAATTATTAGCTGAGCAGTAAGTATGCTCAGGTTCATTTGTAGAACAGGCTGGTACTGTAGTGAGTTTAACCTTATATAAAAGAGAAATAAACTGCTTGAAAAAACAGTAATTGCTGCTAAAATATCCCTAGAAGTTTCTGTTCCTTTTTATTCACGTTTTTTCATGTCAGACTTGAACACAACTACAGAAGCTCTCTGCAGGCTACTCTCTCTGGCCTTCCATTTTACTCCCTCCCACACAACCCAAATTTGGCTGTAACCCTAGTCATTCTTGGAGCATGCTCGGTGATGTCATAGGCTCCAGTGGAGAGGCCCCAGCCTTTTTCCGAGATCAGGTGTCTGAGCCTTTGTTTGCATCTGTCATGAACTCCTCTCTACTGCACAGGTTGGGAGTTGCTGCTTGGTTTGTCTGTACACTGATCCCTGTTCAGGTCATTCTGTCAGCAACCCAAGTGACAAACTGTTAAGAGTGATACCTGCTGAAGAACACATTGTTCACGCTTTTCATCCACTTCAGATGCTGATCATGGATGGCAACACTGAATTAAAATGGACATAATCAGTCAGGAAATATTTTACTGATCTCCGCAGGATACGTTTTTTTTCAGCCACTTAAAGCTGCTGCCAGTAGAATATAAATGAGTGCCAACTCTCCTCTATAGTAGAAGTGTGTCCCCTTTGTACAGTCTTTCAATCCAAGTACAAGAGTATCATTTTATATGTCAGTTTCAACCTGATTTTGTAGATATCTGGGCCTTACATCAGCTAAATTCCATGTTTATAGCCTGCAGATGGTCAATGTAGCCATTTTTCAGACATGACCTGTGGGTCAAATCCAAAGAATTGGCTACAGAGTTTACCCAGAGTTTGCCTTTCACACATGCACAATGTTACGGGAGGTTTTCTGCAAAGACATGTTCAAAACTTCACTGTGTAGATCACGTGATTTTGTCGACAACACACATATCGCGTCCTCAGCTCTTATCACCACAAATTCTCTTGACATCAATGTTGGTGTCTTCTACGTGGCATCTTCAGTTGCATTCACACATCGACTTCCCCTTGATTTCTCACTCGGAGGTGCTGTATACAAAATCACGTGATCTTCGCAGCAGAGTTAATAAGTCACTTCTTGCCTCTGTCTGCTGCACCCGGCTGCTCCACCTCTAGCCCGAATAATGCAGAGGATTCGTTGCTGTTGTGAACCCGTTTGTGCAGAGAACTCCCACTGTAGCCAATTCTCTGGAGTCTAAATGTCCTTAGATAACAGGGCCAGTTGTACAGTTACAGCAGTGATGGTATTCTTGTTTATTAAGTGTGAGTTTTACACTTGACTCTTCTGGAAAGAGGAATAAAATGCTAACTGAGCGAATTCTCAGGCTCTGATAGCCAGTTAATGTTATACAGTGGGTTTGTTTACAGTCATAAAGCTGTAATGCAGTTCATAGTGGCTTTTATCATTATTTTTAAAGATGTTTAATTTTTAGCCCGACGTTAGAAATGTGGGCAGCTTTGAATCTTAATACTGGATGTGGTTCATCTGTTTGTCTCAGTTTCAGCTTGCAAATTGCCTGGCAATGATTCAAGATGTGGCAGATTTCGTGGACTCAAATTAACAATCTACACGCTGCTTGTACATCTGTGCGTCTGGTGAAGTACAGTCTGTTTCTGCTTTAAATTTAGCTTAAGTTCTTTACTCAAGTTGAGATATGGAGATTGCAGAGGGGAAGACAACATAATGCAGTACTTCCTCTTTTAACTAGGAGTTCCTTAATTATTTTCATTTGTGATGATGATAAAATGGTTTTACCAGTCAGTTTATCATTCGCTAAATTTTGTGTACACGAGCCTCTGACATTGAGACAATCATAGAGAAAATTGGCTTTTTCTCAGTCTGCATTTGGAGCAGAGAGAGTGACGGTTGTCTGACAAGAGGATGTGAATTGATGCAGTCCCTGTTTCATATTATATCATTACAGTAAAAAATTATCCAAAGAGACCTGTGGTGTGGCAATGTTATCATGGTGTGTGTCCTAGACTCACATGTCTTTTTTCACTACTTCAAAAATAAATGCACATGCTGTCTGGAACTGAGGTTTTTATGATCGGTGACAGTGGAAACATGGAAATAAGCAGCAAGGAGAACTTGTGCTCACCTTCTTTCCCGCTGGATCTAAATTCTTGAACCAGTTTTCTTTTCTTTGAAAAGAAAAGAGATTCTCATTTTTTCAATGCCCGATACTTGTGATAATATAATTGTATGACTTTATTCTTGTAATATAACAACTTAATTCATTTAAATTTGAAAATATGTCTGGTAAGGTTACAGCTGTATCTTCATGAATTCTTCCTTGAGTGGTCCTAATACTCCGTCAAAGGGATAGTAAAGGATCTAAACCTTTTTTTATCAATTAGGTTTAGCTTAATTATTTAAGCAGTTGCTTCTTGGTAATGCACCTCACAATAGACGTTGTACAGTGTCTGTACACTTTTTGAAACGTTAACATCCAACCTCTTTCCCTCACCACAGGCTGTTGGAGACAGACAGCAAGTCGCTGCGCTCAATGAACGGCTCCAGGCGGAACAGTGGCTCCTCACTGGTGTCCAGCTCCTCTGCCTCCTCTAACCTCTCCCACCTGGAGGAGGACTCGTGGATTCTATGGGGACGAATTGTCAACGAGTGGGAGGAGGTGCGCAAGAAGAAGGAGAAGCAGCTCAAGGTGAGGCCAGTGCAAATGATTACCTGTGGAGAGGCAGCGGAGCCTGGTCCAGACCTGCTTAAGAGCTTACTGGTACATGGCTGCATTAAGAGCTTACTTTGACACATTTGACCTGGCTCCTCCAGAGGACGGTTAAAGCACTGGAGCTATCGTTTCATAATCTCAATTTAGACACTCATATTTGTCTGCTTATTCATATTTGACAAGAATAACAGTATTCCAGGTCACCAAGAAAAGACACAGGAGCTCCCATGATACTGTTTCTGGAATGAAACGGCTTTAAACTTTGTAATATTATTCAAATCTAGGCTACACCATCTTTCCTATGATACACATGTGCCTCTCGGGCATTTAAGCTCTGGCATGAATGTTACAATGGCACTATCTGTTTGAATGTTTACTTGGTGACCTTTTAATGTTGTCCTTGAACTTGTTATTTGAGTTCCTGACATTTTAAGCTAATTTTAGGTTCCTTGTTTCTACAGTTACTTTCTGAAGTCTTATGATAACCCTGTGGCCAGTCACTGTCAGCGCTAGTCTGATTTAAAGTGCACATGCACAGCGGAAATTTGAGTAAACACAGTGACCACAAAAACAGAAAACCCCTTCCAACACTCTGTTGAATCATGTGATAAGAGCCATAAGTTACAGCATTGACTCAGCAGGGAACCTTCATGATGCTCAAGTGCTTGGTGTAAAAGTTTTAAGTGTTTATGTCCTTTCTTATGTTGCTGCATTTAGCTCATTATTTAGATGTTCAGTGGGATTTTTTTCAATCAATGGCCATAACAGGAAACGTTGTTTAGGTCCATACATTTTTCAGCAGCTAAATTTCCACCCAGCAACTCTACAGTCATGATGATGCTTAAAACTGCCTGATCAGCACCCCTTTCTTATACCCTGTCACTCTTTAAGCGCATTGTTTGTCATCCATTCACATGCAACAATGTGTAGACGTGGAGTTGCCGTTGCATGAGCCCGTTGATAATGATAATATGCAAAAAGGATGGGAAGATCCATTTCTTCTGCAGTGGCAGGGTATTTGTATGTCTTGTCACTGCACATGCAAATGAGGAAGTGTGACCATGCATGGGTGTAGTCGTGAAAATTAACAGAAGTAGTAATGACCAGATGGGTGCAACCAGCCTGGGATATGAATCATAACTGCTCTGAGGCCTCTACACATTCTGCATTTTCTTCCCTTTGGTTTACAGAGTAACTCTTTTTCTGTAGCATGAAGGAAGGAACCTTAAGTTTCTTTGCTTGTCAGCAAAACCCCTGATGTGTTCAATGTTCTCAATGTAGTTGATATTTCATCAAAGCGTACAAAAGTTCAAGAGAAATCAACTTAGTGTAGTGGTTATCTGGTGAAATGTTGCCCTTATCAGATACATTAATATCTTTATATCTATAACTGTTTTAGAGCCTGTCAAGTGTTGGTGGGAATTAAAAAAACAAGGCTGATTAAAGTAGAGGCTCAGAAAGCTGCTTTTGTTCACAAATAGTCCAGATATGAGACGGGGGTTTGTTCCAGTACAAAGCTCGGTCTGTCTTGTCTGATCTCTGAGTGGGGAGAGGGATTCCCTGCTGAAAGCCTGTGTGGGCGGACCTCTGCTCCAGATGCACCCTGGACCGACCAGATGCACACACGCACACACAACCGTGCACACTACCATTGCAGCAGGAAAGACCAGTGTTCCCTCTCAGCACAGGAAATTGCCTAATCAAATTGTATCAGCAGTAATACATGGAAACAAATCACTGTACAAAGTGCCACACCTGCAAAATAGAGTCTGAAGGTGGAACTGATATAAATATGAGATGCACCCTGTGCACACACATTCTATCTTCCTCTAAGAAATACATGTGTTGCTCTTTTTCTCCACATGAGGCCGGTCTGTTTTCTAACACTTTTACTCTGTTATCCACATAGTCCAAGCACCGTTTCTGTTTTCTACATGTCCACAACAGCTCATTTAAAATCACCTTCCTCGTTCGTTCTGAACCTTCAGACAATTTTTAGCATGGTTTGGATTGTTTTCAGTGTGAACTTTATTTTGGGGAGGATAGTTCAGATTTTTGGACCAATTTCAGAAAGTTGCAATAATTTTAAACAATAGAAGAATAAAAAGAAGCACAAGCAGGATTGCTCTGTTGTCTACAAAACAATCAGTGTCAAGTAAAGGTCGACAGAGCTCACTTAGGTGATGATGACAGGATATATGTATGTCATACAAAAGTCTTTGGTCTGCTCCCTAACTTGCAATGTGAAAATAAAACTGGATCAAATGTAAATTATTGGTTAATTAATAAATAATGCTACATTTCATAAAATGTCTTTCCTTTTTCCTAAAGGATCTTGTCAGAAAAGGGATTCCTCACCACTTTCGGGCAATAGTGTGGCAGCTGCTGTGCAACGCCCAAAATATGCCCATCAAAGATCAGTACTCCGAACTCCTGAAAATGACATCGCCCTGCGAGAAGCTGATTCGCAGAGACATTGCCCGCACTTATCCTGAGCATGAATTCTTCAGGGAGAAGGACAGCTTGGGTCAGGAAGTGCTCTTCAATGTCATGAAGGTAAGCCTTGATTTGTGTCTGAGGAGATCTGATTGTGTGCAGATGAACTGATAAGGACATGTACAGACTACACAGAGAGGTATTTGGTGTGAACAGCACTTTGAGGGTACAATCTGTTAAGTCTGCTGTAGACCCTTGTAGAAACCTGTGCTCCTGTAACCATCACTGAGCCTTTTCTTGTTAATTTAGGCATATTCTCTGGTGGACCGGGAGGTTGGCTATTGTCAAGGTAGTGCATTCATTGTTGGGCTGCTACTCATGCAGGTAATAATAAATCTTCTCCACATGCAAAAAAACACTCTGACTCACCAGCTCCCAACAATATATTTCTGACTGAACAACAAGACAGATTTTGAGGTTTGATGCCATACTGTTATTTTCCTAGATGCCAGAGGAAGAGGCTTTCTGTGTGTTTGTGAAGTTGATGCAAGACTACAGATTGCGAGAGCTCTTCAAACCCAGCATGGCAGAGCTGGGACTCTGCATGTACCAGTTTGAATGCATGATCCAGGTAAGCACCTCAGACTCGGTTGTCAAAGGTTGCAAAGAGATATTTTGATAAAATGTAGTCATGTGCAGGAGTAATAATGTGAACCTGTATGATTTTTTTTGTCCCCTGCAGGAGCAACTCCCAGAGCTGTATATGCATTTCCAGGCTCAGAGCTTTCACACCTCCATGTATGCGTCTTCTTGGTTCCTCACCATCTTTCTCACGTCCTTCCCTCTGCCTGTCGCCACAAGAATCTTTGATATCTTCATGTGTGAGGTCAGTTAAAAGGAACCATAGCTTACAGTACCATGAAGTGGTTTAAAAAGTTACCCCCATCCATGTTGAGTGAATTATAAATCTCAGAAATATGTATATGATGTAAAGAATAGCATAAATGGTAAGATTACAGAGGGAAGTGTTTACAGGAAGGTGCGCACTACTAATGAAAGCAATAGCGGAACAATGGCATTCATAACTGAGGAACTAAGTCTAATAAGACAAGACATGTAATATGGGCCACCTTGAATGTGTATTGGACTGGATATGTATGTCTATGTGAGAGCTGATGTATAACGTATAACCCATATTTATTTCTATATGTTTGTGTTCAGGGTTGTCTTATTGTTTGGATTTGTTTTTATCAAGATGTTTGTTTCAAATATTTTAATTTAATTTTTAATCTATAAACTCATAAATGTTGTTCCCTTTTGTAAAGGAATCTGTAAATTTAAGCTCGAAAATATTTAATGTGGTAGGAAATACGAGAAAAAACCTACTAGAGATGAGAGAAAAAAAGGAACCATAGCTTTTCTCTGGGGCTATCACTTGTTTTGAACAATAGCCTGTGTGTACTTACATTTAGCCTGTAAAGATCTGTGTCTTTGCATGTTTCCTAGTCTATTTATTTAGCTTGGATTGTGCTACTGAGTTCACTTTCTACAAGAAACACTCTCATAGCTCTGTTTTTAACTCCTGCACTTTGTTTTTACTTTAGTAGTTTCTTATGTGATATTACAGTTGAATCTTATCATGCTGTTGCACTCACTGTAGCTAATAGCATGAATCAAAGTATGTCAGATGTGGTGAGATGAAGTGTTTTCACACTTATTAACATTTATTCTAACTACATATATAATACAAATTAAATGAGGTTGACTGTCTTGTTATCCAGTAGCGCCACCTGTTGGACAAAAGAGAAACACAACAGTTCATACTGAATAGTTCCTGTGAGTTGTTTCATCACTGCCTTGACACCCCTTGTAATTTTCGATTTTTCTTTTTAAGTCTGTTTTAAAATCCATTTTCACAGCACTTCAGCCACACAGAAGGGCTTTCTAAAAGTGACTCCTCTCTCTCTCTCTCTCTCTCTCTCTCTCTCTCTCTCTCTCTCTCTCTCTCTCAGGGTCTGGAGATAGTTTTCCGTGTGGGACTGGCCATCCTCCAGATGAACCAGACCGAACTCATCCAGCTCGACATGGAGGGAATGTTACAGGTATATCACTGTATATTTCCATTTTATACGTCATTCAAACAGCTCAGGTTTCTGGTGCAAAATGTAGAGCAGCCTCTAGGGAGGAACCTCCACCACACCCAATTAATTGACAACATGTACCTGTGCACACGCTGACATTTGAAATAGTGCTTTGAGGTCAGAGGAACATCTGGCTAAGAAATGACTGTGCTGAAAGGTTTGGACATGGCTGGTTTATGGGTTTGTGTGTGTGTGAGTGAGAGGGACTCAACCAGCCTCTGTTTTCTTACTGTGCACCAGCACTTTCAGAGAATTATCCCACACCAGCTTGAAAGCGGCCCAGATAAGGTCATCCAGGCTGCTTGTCAAGTCAAGTACAATGCCAAGAAGATGAAAAAGTAAGTCCAACTGTTATGTCCTTCCTTACATATAACTGCTTTTACTTTGTTTCTTTATTTTTTTACTCACAATCATTGAATTGTAAACCACAGTGTGATGGCTCATTTCACTCAGTTTAAATCTCTTAAGTTAAGATAAACCTGGAAATAAGGTTACAGAACCTATGCACATTATATTTGTTAAAACATAGTGAGTAGCTAAGCAAGTTCGGGGGAAAGATAAAGCAGTTAAAAGAGCTGGCATTTAGATTATAAGGAGAAAGATAAAGACAATAACTTATAGTTCTAGTCAAGAACATAATGAGTTAAAACTGTATTAAAATATATATATATAGAAATGGGAATCTTAATTTAAACACAAGTAAATATTACTGGAAATGTTGTTCTTCACATAATGAAGATTTACTCATCATTGGAAATAAATGAATAAATTGAAATACTTATTGAAATGTGTTTCTAATTTTTGGAATATTTGAAAAGAAATTAATTCATGTGATTTTGCAATTTTACCACCTCAGCCTGCATAAGACAAATTTGTATTAAGCTTTGATTTGCAAAGTGACACTTCAACGAATCTCTGTTTCAGGTTGGAGAAAGAATACACTACAATCAAAACTAAAGAGATGGAGGAGCAGGTGGAGATAAAGGTGATTACAGATAGTTGAGTGCGTTGTTGAACAATGATTCAGAAATGTCAACCGAGCTTTTTTTCTGACTTTGCAATTCCTTGTTGTGCAGAGACTACGGACAGAGAACAGGCTCCTGAAGCAGAGGATAGACACACTAGAGAAAGTGAGTGTTTGTCCCAGATAATCGTCAGCAAACCAACACTGCTCCCTGCTCATCAACATTACATTAACCCATCCAGCTGTGTACGCACATACATCATGCATCTCCTCCTAATGACGCAGTCTTGTCTTTCACTAATTGGGCTGCACTAGTTGAAAGTTGTCTGTGATCAACCATTGTTGACTGGTATGGTGAATTTTCAGAAACAGAAGCTGGATTTTGTACTTCAGGTTGTCTTAGTGTTATGGTGACTTTCTGTGTGGCTCGAATAACCTCATGTAGTGGAATCTAAAATCAACCAGACACGACTAACTGAAGCAGATACCGTTAACAAGCCTGTTTGGAATGTGACAGTGACAACTTGACGCTGTTCAAGTCGATACAAAGCACTGCATGCATGCAAGTTGCACCGTTTGTATCCTGCACCTTTTTGAGTCTGTGAATGGGCACGACTGCTGCCAGCTAAAGGCACCATGCATGAGGTCTGCCATGGAGAGCGAGGGTGTCTGCTACTCGCTCTCTTCCTGCAGGGAGGAGCGATGTGGTCTGAACCAGTCCGTTATTTACAACCAGCTTGAGTCTGCTGTCCTCTGATGTGACTCTGTGACTGAATTTGCAGGGTCTTTTTACTTCTAATTCTAACTGAAGCCGGTGAAAAGCTTGGATGAATGGCATCAACGCCCAGAGCTTCTGTTCTGTTCAGTTTAACAACATGTTGCTCCTTAACACTGTCAACACGCTGTCTTGACTTCACACTCAACTTTAACCCGAGCTGTCCTGTGCTGTTTCCTTTCTGAAACTGGTCACTGTGTTATAAGCAACGCTTAATTCTTCACTTTGTCACCAACTCATTTGCACCTCTTCCACCACACTTGCATGCAATGTTCCTTTTCCACCCCTGAATGTAAACATCAACCTGTAGACACATATTTCAAGAGGGAAAATGAACATTGCATTTTTCTTCTCTAAAACAAATCAATTGTTCTTTTGTTTGCTTTAAACTGTCTCTCTCTCTATCTCTGTCTCTCTCTCTGTATCTGTGCTGTCTCTTGTTGATATTTCTGTTTTGTAGGAAAGTGCTTCCTTGGCAGATAGATTGATCCAGGTATATTCCTCATTTTCTCTTTACCTTTATTACTTCTGTTGCACCTTCCTTCTTCCTTCTATCTATCTTAACTCTGCATGCTTATGAACAAGTCAATGATTGTCTGAATTAAGAACTAAACCAGATAATAACCCTTTATAATATCTTGAATTAGTGCATGAAATAACACATTGTGGCATGTCAGACAAAGTAAGAGAATCGCAGCTCACAAAATGTAAATTACACTTAATTTAAAACAAGCATGTCCTCAGAGAACCCAATCCCTCGTCTTCTGCTCTGATTTGCCCTCCCATTCCGCCCTCTCGTTTTCACTTCTTTTCGTGCTCACCTCACCCCCCTCCCTGGATGGTTATGTCCCAAGGGACAAGTGACTCGAGCTCAGGAGGCAGAGGAGAACTACCTGGTCAAGCGGGAGCTGGCCACAGTCAAACAGCAGAGTGAAGAGGCCAGTGCTCAGCTGGAGCAGGCCAAGAGCACCATCAGGCAGCTCCAGCAGCAACCACAAGCGGTAAGGAGGGCCACAGAGTCCCCAGGTTGCAGGTTTGCAGTGTGGATTAGAGCCAAGGATTATCCGGCCTAGTCTGTGAGGAGCTGTAACGTCCACACTGTTTGTGGTGTGCAGTGCTGAAACCACAGGCTGACTTTTATAATTATGCGGTGTAATAGAAATGAGAGCTGGACCCATAGCTATGTGCTGTCACTTGGACGTGTCATGGTTTTGTGTTTCCCCTGCCCTGGTGGCACCTGTTGCCTAGCAACAAAAATCCAAGCGGTGGCAGGTGAGCTTCTCTCACTTTGCACACCAGCTCTGGGTAATTATGTGTTTTGCATGCATGAATTCAAATTGGTACATGGAGTATGAGACAGGTCAGCTACCATGTACAGTTGTCAGTGAATGAATTTGTGAGCAGTTGTCTCAGAGGCTGGTGGATTTAACAGTTGACACCCTGTTCACATAACGTGTCTCTTGACCTCACAGTGTTAATTATTGATGCTTGGATTCCAGATGGTAATGTGCAGGCGTCACCGTGTTCTACATAATTTGCTATCATGCTTCACAATGAGCAGTCATGAATTATGTAATGTGAAAGTAAAAGACTAAATGAATGATGTCAGGCATTGTATTTCATATCTCTACCCGAAGAATATAACACATGGAATGTGCTGACACTACTTGTTGGACATGGGGGTTACATTAGTGGAGGTTGAATATTTAGTTTTGCATTAGACCCAACTTTGTTGTCACACATGGATAATTGTTGGCCTGCTGTGTCTCTGCTCACTAACCTTTCCTGATGGTTATAGAAGGGAGCCCCTCGCTACTCGGAGGAGTCTGTCCTGCAGCTGGAGAGGGAGCTTGTACAGGCACGACTGAAGGAGGCAGAGTCCCAGTGTGCACTCAAAGAGATGCAAGACAAGATCCTGGACATGGAAAAGGTGAGTTGCCCTAGATACTGTTTTGTAGCACACAGGTATAATTATCAGTGTATTTAAAACATACTTTTCTTTCACGTCTTCCTCAGAGGAACACATCCCTGCCAGATGACACCAACGTAGCACGGCTACAGGAGGAGCTGATTGGTGTGAAGTTACGGGAAGCAGAAGCCTCGACTGGCTTGAAAGAGCTGAGACAGCAGGTCAGAGGCCTGGAAGAGCACTGGCAGGTGAGCGACTAATATTTCACAAGTGCAACATATGAAGATAGGAAAAAAGCTTTGATGGTAGTTTAATGAATGACTGTAACACTTTTTCTCAGCGTCACCTGGCACGCACAACTGGTCGCTGGAAGGACACCCCAAAGAAGAATACTATGAGTGAGCTACAGGACGAATTGATGAGCGTAAGGCTGCGTGAGGCCGAGGCCCAGGCAGAGCTCCGAGAATCACGGCAGAGGATTCTGGAGCTGGAGACACAGGTCAGATCATCTTTGTATCCACATTCACCTCATCAAGCTCTTCTGTGCATTGGATTATTGTGTTTGTCCTTCTTAACATTAGTATCTTCATAATCACATTGATGAATTATTTGCAAAGTAAGTGGGGGTCTAGTTAACAGTAAACTACACGAGAGGAGGGGATTTTCTACCTGTATTGTCACACAGTTGCCTTCAGATGGCAGCAGTCCTCCGCCAAACAACTCAGAAACTTGTGCAGTTCAGTGCAGTGTCACCAAATCACATTTTTGTGTCGAGATATACATGTACAATGTGAAATTGTTTAAGTAAAAAAAATTAATTTCTTTATCTTTGCTTACACAGAATCAGATTCACAGCAACCACCTGCGGCGGGCGGAGCTGGAAAGTCGCAATCTCCAGGAGCGTGTGCAAACACTGACGGTGCAAAATAAAGATCTGCATGTGCAACTGCAAGAGATTAAGCGGAGACAAGCTGAGTTTGAATGCAAGGTACATGTTTGAGTTTGCTGCTGATCTGCAACACATAACTCTCGCACAAACTATTACAGCTGGTTGGAAAATTAGTTGATGAAGTGATATTATGAAATTAGTTTGGTTTGGTCTGTTTCCTCCTGAGAGTCAGTATCTAGCTCCAGGTGAAGGAAGCGACTTGTTCTGATAGTATCTCTGTACTGATGCATTTGCTGCTGCTGCTAGATTTCTGTTAAACACTTGTGTTAACACTCCCCGTATCTACCATGCAATATTCACACATCTACAAATAGAAAATACAGAAACATTGTACACATGTTTCTATATCGGGCATTCAGCTTATCTTGGGGTCGGTTTGAGCTGTTGTCAAAATAGTGTTGAAGCTACTTGCAGTTGCTTGAGAGTTTTGTGTGGTTTGTTTTTTCCTGCAGAGCAAGGAGGAGGTGATGGCGGTGAGGCTGAGGGAAGCTGACAACATTGCTGCTATGGCAGAACTCCAGCAACAGATCTCAGAGCTTGAGATTGAGGTAAAATCCAAACACAGTCCCTGTTACATCTGTCTCCAACATCACACTCCTGACTCTGTATCAAGCATCATATTTCCTCGCCCTTTATTTTCTGCACACTTTATTGTATCGAGGATTTAATTTTCTGTGCAAAAAATTGCAAGTTTTGGGGCATCCATTCAACCACGTGAGCTATTGGATGCATGTTAAAGGTACAGTGTGTAGAATTTAGTGATATCTAATGCTGAAGTTGCATGTTGCAGCTGAACACCCCTCACATCACCCTCTCCTTCCAAACATGAAAAAGAACCTGTGGTAGACTTCAGTTGTCATAAAAACTCAAAAGGTGTTTAGTTTAGTTTGTTAAGTCTGAACTAACGAAAAAACATGGTGGCCTCCGTAGAGAGGACCCCCTCGATGTAAATATAAAGTATTTAAATATAAAGGGTCTTTTCTGGGGTAAAGAAAACTACAATTCATACAATTTAGATGAAATGAACTAGTGAAAACATCATGAGGATTATT